TTATCAGAGTAAATCCCTGTTCAACATGAGTCTGACAACTAAGTAAGTAGATAAATAACTTTAAACTTTAATACATGCTCTGATAGGTTGGGATTGGTATCGGATCGGAAATGGAAAAAAGATGGATTAGGACATCCCTAGTTGGGAGTTTCCGGCTGTCCCCCCCTATGTTCCTACTCTTCTACAAGTCTTATTGCTATTATTACTGCTATCATTAGCATTAGTATCAATATCTCCATTTTTCATCCAGTCTATGTGTCACTGTGTAGGCTGCCTCTCTCTCTCTCTCTCTCTCTCACGCTCTCTCACTCTCACTCACCCCCAACCAGCCAAGGCAGTTGCCCCCCCCACCCTGAGCCATAGTTCTGCTCCAGGTTTCTGCCTCTTAAAAGGAAGTTTTTCCTTCCCTGTGTCGCCCAGTGCTTGTTCTTGGTGGGAACTGTTGTTTTTCTGTAAATAACTTCAGACCTGCTCTGTTTGGAAAGCTGGGAGATAAATAACTGTTGTTGGGATTTGAAGCTATGGAAATGACATTTAATTGAACCATCCTTCCACCCCCTCCCCCCCCAGGTTCAACAGCGGCCTGGTGTTCGGCGTGGTCGCCATGTTCGGCTCGGTTGTGCTTCTGGTCAGAACCCTCCAGCAGACGTACGCGCAGATGACCACCGACAACCCTCGGATCGGAGGTCAGCAGGCGCTCCAGGTGGTGGTACGTCGCTTTTTCCTGGAGCTTTCAGCAGGTAGAAGAGGCCAAACGGGGGGGTGGAGGGGTGGGAGATCGTGCGTCCCACCTTTGGGCTTCAACCTCACAAAAAAGAAAAGGAGCTGGGAGAATAATGAGGAGGGCTTTTTCCAGTTGGCTCGTTCATCGTGTTGTCAGATAAATTAGAGCCCGTCCGGCTGCCAGCCGATCTCTGGAGGCTATTAGCACGCCATTTATAACCAGGAGTCGGCCAGGAGGAGAAGAGGCAGACGGGAGAAAATTACAGGTTTCAGCAGCCCTGAGGAGGGATGGGAGGGAGGGTTGTCACCATACTTAAATGTTCAACTGAATACTGATACTCAGGGAAATATTCGATACTTGATGCCATTTTCGATACAAAAAGGATAAAAACAAAGACCCCAAAATTTAACTGAATTTTGACAGGTTAGTGTTTTTTGTGTCAAACTGACCTATTAATAATGTTATGGTGGCCGGTGGCCCACATTAATGACCCTAATCCTAACCCTAACCCTGACCCTGATCCTAACTCTAACCCTAAACCTAACCCTGACCCTAACCTTAACCCTAACCCTGACCCTAACCCTTCATAATTGTGAGAAATAAATATTTTTTGGTTAAAGTTGTTTGGACTTATAGTACAAACCTATTTAACATTCACTATTTTAACATAATATTATGTATAGAGTTTAATTCACTGTTTGCAAGATTCATTTCACTATTTTTAAATTAATGTCTATATTGTCATGAAGCAATTAGGATTATGTTGCCTGGGATCTTCCTATTGGTGACCTAATCACAATGGCTGACTTGGATGTGGGGGAGTTGGATATCCATCCTTGGCTTCCTGCAGTCTGATTAATGTTGGCGTGTTATTATTAGCCATTAGCCGCAGCTAGCAATTCAAGGCTAACGTCACGTTAATGATCATAAACAACGTAAATGAATAAATAAATAAATCAGAGAGAAGGGAAAATGAGTATCGTATCCGGATACAACGTTTTAGTATCTATACTTTTTGGGGTATTGATACTTTTGACAACCCTAGAGGGAGGGGTTTCATCTCCAGAGTGGGGATCCAGAAAAAGAGCCTGGAACCAGACGGTTTTTCGGCCCTAACGCTGCGTTTCTGTGTGTTTTCAGGTCCCCGGCGTGAATCTGCCCACCAGCCAGCTGGCCTACTTCTTCAGCGCCCTGCTGCTCAGCGGCATTTTGCACGAGCTGGGCCACGCCGTGGCGGCTCTCAGGTGACCTTCCAACCCTCTAACTCTGCTCAGGACGCGGGCCGTCTTCGTCTAGTTTTGACTCTCTAACCCTTTAACAAGTGACAATAAATGATTTTGGTTTGAAAATAGATCAAATGCATAAATCAATCAGTCAAAGACATAAATAGGCTTAAGAATAAATAGAAAATGACACACTTCATTTTCCACCCGTTTTTGTCTAAATGTAGTTTTCTGATCTGTGAATTGAGGCGCTCACACAGGAGCAACTCTGACACTTTGGAAACTCGAATCACAAAACAGGCTTTGCTTGTTTTTCTACATGTAAATGACTTGTAAATAAACCGATATCTGTCTGGATGCCGCACACAAACGGGGCTCCAGACGTAGAAACAGGTCCAGAAGGAGTCCCTGCAGACAGAAAAAAGTCAAAGCTGGAGCATTTCTTCCACTTTTGAGAAGAAAAACGTGATCCTCACAGATGTTTGAGGCTTCCAGGACCAGATCGAGTTTCTGAAGTCTCATTTTTTAGCTCCGATGTCTCAGGCCTAAGTGGTCCCACAGCTCCCTCTGAGCTTTTGGCCACAGAATAGGTCTTTATATCTCTTTAAATGGTGGTCCCTCCCTGTTGTGTGATAGGGGGTCTCCCCAAAACGGGGGAGGCCTTTCCTGGCCTCGTATTTCTGAAGATCCTGAATGAAAAACGGGGATCTGAAGGATCTGTAAATGCACAACGGTCTTGATAAAACGCTTTGGACTCTGCTTTGTACATTCGGATCTATATTTTTAAAGATTGTTCATTTGTACATT